CCTCTCACAGGTCAGTCTTGGTACTCCTACAGACTGTACTGTGCTGTGCTCATCATCTTGAGTACACCTCACACTATAAGCAATTATGATTTTTTTTTAACATCATATGCAGGGTCTCGCATATTAAAAAGAGCTGAAGATGTAAAAAAAAAAAAAAACGGATGAAGCAAGCTGAAAGTGGAACGGTGCTGTCACATCGACTCTCCAGCTCTTGGATTTATGGTTTTCTTTCCTTCACTTTTTGCCTCCTCTCCTCACCTTTTTTTTTCCTCCCCCAATCCCCGAATCGATAAACAGAACGTCGGCTCAGTGGCAGCCAAGGCAAATGTTTGAGCCACCTGTTGCAGGAAACTTGAAGCTCTCGGGAGATGTGAAGATGGAGAATGCAAGGCTCTGCTCCAGGCCCGGCCTGCCTCTGGACTTAACTGAAAATGCTAATGAAGGCAGGATAAACCAATATTACGACCAGCTAATATTCCAAACATAAGGCAAGTGATTATATCAGTTAAAATTTCTGTCTTGCGTGGTAATGATAAATGGAGCGATGAGTGTGATGCATTGAGCTTCCACGCCGTAATTACTTGCCTGCATAATGATTGTGCTTGTTGGCCGCTACGAGAGCATCAAGCTCCAGCACAAACATGACAAGCAGCCATGGCACATCCCCCCCCCCCCCAACTCCCCTGCCCCAAAGCCTGGCAAGTTCTTTAATCACCCCCATCACGCCGTCTTCCTCTCAAACATCCACCTCCCCCCCGCCCCGCCTCACCCTTTGGCATCAAGTCCCTACTGCTGCTCCCTCAGCTAACATTTAAAAAAAAAAAAAAAAAACACTGATGTGAGCAAACAGTTCGCTAGCCCGCAAACATTTATGTAACTTTGCTCAAAGTTGACAAAAAGACATTAACTTGAGGAGTTGTCTTCAACTGATGGTTCTCGTCCTGGTGCTTCCTGGAACTCCCTTGGTCTGCTTCCAATGAATGCCCCCAAAGTCTCTCTGGACCCCCCCCCCCCCAACTCCCCTGCCCCAAAGCCTGGCAAGTTCTTTAATCACCCCCATCACGCCGTCTTCCTCTCAAACATCCACCTCCCCCCCGCCCCGCCTCACCCTTTGGCATCAAGTCCCTACTGCTGCTCCCTCAGCTAACATTTACTCTCCCTATACTCACTTTCTTCCCTGTGCCCCCCCCTCGACTGTAAAAAAAAAAAAATCCCCCAGGACTGTGGTTCTTTCAGTACATAAACCTCCAAACCACAAATCTCAACCGCTCTTTTATGTTACATTTTTAATGGATGAAAATGTTTGCGTGGCCATATTGGCACCGCCAAGTTGCGACACCATCCATTGTGAAGAAAACAATCTTTCCAATACATTCATCCATTTTCCACAGTGGTTGTCTTCATTCGGGTTGCAGGTGGGCTGGCTGGAGCCTTTTCCAGCTGAGATTGGGCAAGAGGCAGGACTGGTTCACAGGGTACAGATAGACAATCATTCAACTCAAGTGTTCAATAAACCAAAGACGCATTTTTTTTAAATACATTTTGAACTTCAGTTTAGGTTCGATATAGACCGTGTTGTGTTACAAACTGAACTGTGTCATTAAACAAAGACCCGCTGTGAACAGTAGTTTCACAGATTTCGGATTTTCCCCCCATATCTTCCCATTTCTTGTGGGAAACTTAATATTGTTGAATGTTTATCATATTTATAAGTGTTATTTGGATTTTCGCTACAAAGTCAAATATTCATAGCTGCCTCTGTGGTCGATCAGTGCTGCTGCAGGACTCCGGGGGCAAACAGAGGGGCGGGGAACATGCAAGGCCGCCGGCCTACGTTTCAGTCAAGCTACGACACAGACTCAATAGATGGCGATGCAGTCAAAACAGAAACCGCTTCCTGAACCTCGCCGCATGCCTCAACAAACCAAACTCTGACCAAACACAACCCGAGCAGCTCGCCGCAAAACTGACATTGGCAGAGGGCTTCCAGAAACCCTTCTCAAGAGTGGGAACGCAAGCGATGATGTGCAGATTTTCATCTCACAAATCAGTCAGGAACATCTGCGTCAAATAAAAGTGGAAAAGTGTGGCCTTGTTGTGCATTACGCTTAAACGCAAGACCACACAAAGTCATTTTGCTGTTGCAATAAAAGTGCAGTGATCTTTCCAAAAGTTCCACACGTGGTACAGGATGCAACTTTCTTGAGTAGCATTCCAAGCACCCTCAATTAACAAGTGAACCAGTTTGCACAAAATACTGGAGTTTGAGTTGTTATTCAGGACAGGGTCCTCAGTGTGGCGACGTATAATATTTTGAGGTTACCAACAGCATGCAATTAACTACGTTTGTGCAGCAGTGTTTTTTTTGCTTCATTAGCATCGGTTAGTACGTTCTGACTTGCGTGCAAAATTAGATTGCGTCGATGTTGTGCGGGCGAAAGACCATAAATTGAGGCCCCTTGTAATGCAGATCCTCCATTCTGCATGACTAAACAGCCAAACGTGTTTAAAAAAAAAAAAAGAAAAAAAAAACGGATATTTTTTTTCGAGACATTCAATAATCCACTGATTTGATTGGAAGAGGGTAAAAAAAGGGTAAATTTGACCCGATTATCAGGATGTGTATCCCCCACTTTTAATAGCACATTATTTTGTTTGTTCCAGAACTCATGCCCTTAAGACTCTGTGTACTTCACAAAGTGTTATGTCACACGTCATTATCAAATGCTATTATTGTGTTCCTTTTTTATTTCTTTTTTTTGTATTTTAAAATGATGCTATAAATATGCGGCGCATCTGTGACATGGCTTGCCCTGGCATGACATTTGCCTTTGGGCCATATTTTCATGCCCAGCACAAGTCTCGCTGAGTGCATGGGTGGAGTTTTCTTTCTTTTGGTGTTTTTGTAGACAGGTAGAAATGTTTGCGCCGTTGTGGGAGAGAGCACAGCTGGAAGCAGCTTCCCTTTTTCCCTTTAAATTCCGCCAGCCCCCTATCCCCCCCATAGTTTAGCCGCGGTCAGGGGGGTGCTTTCAGAAATATTTTTAAGATGTTCATAATTATTCATTCAATAAATTGATTTCTCCAGTCATTTAGAGGGATTTTCCCACGCCGCTGTCTGTAATATCCACCACACATGTCCGCGGAGCTCAGAATCTGCCTGCCTGCGCCTGGATCATATCCACCAATATCACATTACATTATCTGCGCCACATTCTAGTCCACGTTGTCACCACGTTGTCAGATGCGCCGGGGGTGTGAAAAATGCCTTCAGTCCACTGGAACGCCCAGCAAGGCGCAATGCCGTCTGCCAAATTCCCAAACAAAGTAAACTAGACTTGCCCCCGCACGAAAATTAAGTTGCGGCAGTCTACTCCTATCACTTCGCCTGTTTTCATTGTAACAGAGCCAGAGGTGAGCATTCTGTCAGTGCTGATGGAAGGTCCGTCAGTCCGTCACTGATGGATGCCCGTTTTGCTGAAGATTCGCAAATGATGGGGGCGGAAAAAAAAAGGAAAGAAATGTATTCAAGGATGGATGAGGTTTGTATGTGTGTACGATTTCTTTCGAAACTAACATCGCCAACTACTGGCCATACATCCATATTACAGGATGTCCAATCATTTTTGCAGTGTTTTTCACCTTGTCATGTAAAAGTAACCCTAACCTATTCATGTGCACCTTGGTTTCGGGCTGCTTGCCCTTGAACTTTATGATGGTAGGAAAGGGGTGTGGGTGGCTCGGCGTCTTGAACACATTTCAGAGTAATTGTACTTGATATGTCATTTATGGAACACCCAAGTAATCATGTAAACAAAGAGCAGCTTTCCCCATGGGGATAAAAGGAAAATTCAAAGCGCACCCCATCTGATGTGTAACTCGCATTCGGATTTGAGCATATATTTCTGAGTGAATAACCTGAATCTTTTTTTTTTTCTAGTCTCAGACACAGCAGAAGCAGTTCGCTCCCATCACACACGCACACGCACACACGCATACGAAGAGGGAGAAAGAGAGAAAGGAACAGATGGTAGAGAGCTGAAAAGTGATGGATGCAAATTACAACAACTGCAGCCCTGGACAGAGGAGGAAGGCTGCAAGTCTGTGTAATAATAATAACCTTGCCCCAGGTCTGATTATTGAAAATTCATCCGAGCCTCACCAAGGCATGACAAGAATCAGTGGAGATGGGGGAGCAGGGGGGGAGGGTGGGTGTGAACGAGAGAAATCGCAGGAACCAGACATCAGCCACATGACATGGACGGCTTTAAGAACTTGACAGAAGATTAAGAAAACATGACATCATGGTTAATTAGAATCAGGTGATAAACAAGAGGGCGATATTTATGTTACGCCATATGCCCTGCTGTCTCTGAGGCGGCGGGGGGGGGGGGGGGGGGGTCTCGGCAACAGGTTTCAGACAAGTAAGGTCAAGGCGGCGGCTTTTTCCCCAGCTGCTGGACCACTGACGCACACGCACGCTCACACGTGCACTACAACTGTCAGCGTGTGCTTGCGGCTTTGCATTTGTCAGGAAAGAAGATGGCTGGTGCTTTTAATTTTTTTTTTAATTATATTAAAGGAAGGCTTCTTTAATTTTATATGTGTGGCATGATTAGTAGTAATTAATAAGTTAGTTTTCACACATGGAGGTCCCCCAAAGGGCAATTTATGCTCCTAAAAATAATCATCATCATGATAATAAACACAGCTGTAAGAAGAGGGTCCAAATACACAAACGACTCACTGCAAGTTAAAGACAAATATATTTAGATATTTATTCAGGTTTAAATTGAGTAGTATTCAAAAGAAAAGAAAAAGGCATAAATGGTTGACAACAAAAAGACATTCAGTTGTCTTTTTAGCGTGTATTTGTTCTTTCTGTTAAATATTACACCAAATAAATAAATTCAAAGAAAACTTTTGATAGAGTTTGAATTGTTTGGTTTGCTACTCTTTCAACCGTTCCCTTTCCGCTTTGCACCTCCTTTTTTTTTTTCTCCATCAAGTTGCTGATCACACTTTTTTTTTATTATTATTATTCCCATATTTCCTACGGTGCCAGCGTGCTTTTATAAGTTAGACCCCCAAAATATTATATACATTGTATAGCAATATATCTTTCTTTAAAAAATAGAAATGTCCTCATCCGACAGATGCGAAATGTCTTTTAGGTTTCCTCCCCTTGTTGCTCCTGCGGATGCCAAGTCGCCTTTCGGTCTCTTTCCAAACAAAGTCCGTCCCCAGATGCTCAGCCAGCAGTCTGCAGATTGAATTTTCCTCTGACTGTCTCGTCACCGGGGATGCACCACAATGGGCAAGAAGTGAGTGGTTGTGTTTTTCCTCCTGGTCTTCTTGCCCCTCACGGCTTTGCCGTTGGCGTTGAGTCCCACAAACATGTGCTTTCTCTTGTTGCGCCACTCCGCCGATGCGTACGTGTTGTACTTGTTCTCTTCGATGCGCTCGATCAGGCGACAGTCCGGCCCAAAGTCCCTCTGTGGAAGAGAGGCGCAGGTGTGAACGGGGGGAAGGATGGCCAATGACTATTATGAAATTTCAGCATTTTTGAAAAAAAACTGTTTCCGATGTATTTTTGATCACATTATTGTCACACAAGATTGTGTCCACATAACAAAAGACCCTGGACAAGAAGTTTTGGTGTACGTTCATTTGTGTATTATTTATTCATTATATCAATGCCATGATAGTAAGTGACTGCGTACAATTAAGATGATCGCACATGTTGGTTTAATCAAGCAATGGTTATGGTGGGTTTTCTGTGACAGGCCTAAGCTCCTAATTGCCTGTGTGTTAATCCGCCAATAGAATGAAACAATGATTTCATTGGATGCCTTAAGGATAAAGGAGTCAGTGTTGCAGAGCCATCGAGTGTAATCAAATGCCAGCCCTTCGGGCCTGTGCGAGTGCAGCTTGTGTTGCAACAGAGCACGAGTACACGTCATGGGAATTCAGTTTGGGGTGCCGTGCAACAGAATGCTTCTTTTTCTATTCTAGCGGGTGTCATTTCATCTCAGCCGCCGCCACCGCTCCGCAGGGACATGCTGAGAGTTGCCTCTTTTAAACCGAGGGAGGGAGAATGAGTGGAGGAGAAAAGAGATGAAACAGGGCATTACACCCCTCCCCATCTTCGCTCCCCCAGAGGAACTGAGGGAAGAATAGAAAAGGTGGGGGATTGTGTTTCCTGTGAATGGAGAGAACTCACATTGACTAACTTTACTTCCTGCCTTGCTTGCCCAATGGAAAAAAAAACAAAAAACACCAGCTTGGATTGACAACCAGCCATAATCTACCAATATACTCTCATGGTATCAACCATAAGGCAAGTCTTTCTTATTGCCGGGTACACACATGCCGATCATTTTCTTTTTCCTCCTGTTTAAAGTCAGCAAAAGCCCAATTGTCAAATGTCACTCATACTATGCTTCCTGGCCTTTGTTCAATGAAGGTGCCTCTTCTACTGCAGAAAAATGCAAGTAGCAAAAATGTGCTGAAAAGTATATTCATTGTTCAGAAATGATGACGATCTTGTTTCATTGCGCTCACAACTTACCGTTTAGTGTTTGTGGGCCTGAACGTGAAGGTATGTTACGTTAATGGCAGCAGGGGGATACCCAATTGTATCATAAATATAATTTTAAATGAATTCCTTGCTCACCCCGTGCCTCCTAAAATAATCATCCATCTTCTGTCCATCAACTTTTATCCCACCTATTATATATGGCAAATAAAGAAATAAATGCAACATAATATAATCATAAAATCGTTTCATTTGTTTGCAACAGCTGTTTTCATGAACATTATTCTAACAAAGTTTATATGAAGTCTGTTCTGAATATTCTTTTTGCTTCCTGTTGTATTTTGAAATTATTTTAGGAAAGGGGAAGTGGCTTTGTTTTTATTTTGAAATTCTCCCCGGATAGAGGAAGTGATGCTTGTAAAAAAAGCGCGAACGCCTCAGCTGAACGAAGGTAATGCAACACCTGTCAAAGAATAAATCGTATTCATAATTTTGAAACCACCTGCTTGATAAATATTTCATACACGTCTTTCTCCAGTGTTGCCTGAGCACCTGGAGATTCTTTTGCCAACTTTTGACATTTGACAACGCAGGTGAGTCAACAAGCACTCAAATGAATGGACGTTCGTTTGCAGCAGTGTAGAAGATAACACACTTTTTACATTCGACCAGATGGACATTTGAGAGACGTGCTTGCCTCTAAACCAAATTCCAACGTGCGAGAAATCACTGATCACTGAATCACAAAATGGAGGAGGAATTCATCAACATACAACTTGGATTTAAGGTACAGCTTCTTTTTGTTGTTGCGATTTGCGAAACTCGCTGTGGGCATGTTGACTTCTTTTGGGGGTTAGTTAAATGGTCATGTTAAGAGTGAGTCCACAGATTTTGGTCTGAATTTACCATGACGACAAAGCTGATGTTTTTCATTAATTGGAGCTGAGACCAAAGTTGAAATTCTCAACCCCTAAACCACCACAATTATGTGTTATTTTGCTGTCAGTGTAATGTGTCTATTTATGTGCCGAATATTGACTTCCATTTTGATTTCGTGCCTTGTTTAAAATGAACACACGTGGTTATAATTTTGAAAATGAATCATACTGTACATAGCAAACATAAAGAGACCTGAAATGATTTGGACTTTTTAAGCATTTATTTCCCAATTTAAAAATCAGACAAACTCAGTACCATTAAAGTTAGCCAACAAAAAAGGGTTGATATTGAGAGAAAGAGCAGCCAGATTACTTTCTGGTGCATATCAGTTCTCGACATTGGACATTTTTGCCCATGGGCATAAGTGTGCAGATACAGGACATCACCAGGTGGCACAAGAAAGTCAGTTCAGTTGCTACCATTCTGGTTTTCTTTTGTTTGTTTTATATTTATGGGCTAGAAGTGAACTGAAGGTGCCCAGCACAAAAGGAAAATGAGTCTGGGGCCACTTTGCATTGACAACGCAAACTGTGTGAACCGTGAACCTCACTTTGTGCAGTTTAACTGAAGTGCAAACCACACCAAGAGCATCTCTTGAACGTGATAGCAGTTCACATTGATTCAGAGCAAGTTTGCTTGGGAGTGTTCACGTCACAGGCGGAAAATATACTGTTTATTTACTTTTTTTTTAAAGTGGTTCAGCTATAAACTCACCGCGCCGTACAGCTCTCCCTTCTTGCTGATGGCCAGATAATAGTTACTGCTGAGGCCCCTGATGGCCACAACTCCCACGTCCACCGACTTGATCTCCAGAATACCTGGTGGACAGAGAGACATCTCTTTGTCAGAAAGTGGCATGTTTGGTAGTATTTATTTTCTTTATATCCTTTTTTTTCTTTGTGTGTGCGTACGTTTCAAAAAAAGTGCGCTTTTTGAATGTTTGCATTTTCAAAGCACTTTTACAGAAACGGCACACAGCAAAAATGAGACATTTTTTCATATCACTTGTTTGTTAAAAAAAACATTGCCTTGTGATGTGCGTGGACATTAAAAAGAAATGCCTTTGTAGGATATGCAGATTCTAGTCATCAAATGATTCTTGCCCCATGTTTTATCTATTGTTATGGAGAAAACACATTCCTTGACCTAATCTATTTTTTGTTGATAATGAATCACGGACGAACAATCTATTTAGCACGGCGTGTCCTTGCGTCTTGTATGTAACTTGAACAGTTGACCAATTGTATCACATGCTAGATATGTTTAGCCTGTGAGTGTTAAGAACTTTGTGTGTTGAGATATGCTTGAACTGATAATGGACTCTGTGGTTCTGGTTCCCTTAAGGACTGATCTGTCTTCATTTGTGGGACTTGTGGGTGTGCATGTTTTGCTGTTTAAAACCCAAAGTAGTGGTTCTCGAACCTTTTACAGGTTTTAAACCACCTCCCAAAAAAAATAGTTGATTGATAGAAACAGGCTTCGGTGATTCCGCAAAATGTTGACCTTTAGCTTCTGTGGGTGGAATCCAAAGAAAAAAAAAAATCTTTTTTTTTTCTTCCCCTCACAAGTAAGCCCTAGTCTCGCGTCGTTCCTCAGCATGGCCCGCAATGTTACAGTCAGACCTCAGAGCGGCCTCTTGCCCCCTGCTCATTTCGCCGCTTTTCTCGCTGGCTCCGCGCCCCGGGACTGAGGTGTAAGCCAGGAAAAAACATTTTTCCCTCTTATGTTTGTTTTTCTGGCCAGGGGAGCGCATGTAGGCAGGCAAGCACATAAACGGGACAGAGAGAAGTGTTCCGGCTGCCAGGCTCTGGAGAGGTCATTGCGTGTGTATCGGTTTTCAAGCCCGAACCAATTATTGGTTTAAGCAGTGGTCAGCGGTTACTTCTTCTCTCATCCTACAGTCGGTTACGCCATGCCGTAAAGCTATGGAGGGGGGGGCGGGGCTTTGAGAGGATTAGCTGGAGGGGCCCGTAGGAAGCAACCTCGCAGGCAGACTATGGGTAGCAGAGGGGAATTAGGAAGTAAAACTGAAATATTGTGTGACTTCTTCGGACTTATTCTATTGAATCAGAGAAAAAAAAAACTATTCATTTCCTTTGCCTGAATCAATAACCCCCCCCCCCCCACACACACACACACAAAAAAAAGCAGCATTGAAGGTAAAAATCAGTTTGCTTCAGTCATTTGGTGCAGAGCGTCTTTGCTTTCCGACGGAGTCCTGCTGCAACGGTGGCAAACGTAACCCGAACGTGTCCATGGAATGTGCCGTAGCCAATCGCGGTAAAAATCATCATGAGAGCAAATGTTCTTTTTGCATGACAAACGCTTCTCGGCCTTCGATGTGAAACCGTCCGACGGAAAACAACGAGTATCGCAGTCACCGAGTGTGTTTTCACGAGTGGCGTGACGACTCGTTCACACCACGTTGCGCAAACAAGTCCGTTGCGTGTCGTTCGTCGCCTCTTCGGAGCCTGACTTCTCATCCGGTCATGATCAAATGACGGAGACGTCACTGTGACGCCGCTCTACCAGATGCCTCTTTTCCTCTCTTTCTCCTCCTCCCTTTTCAGACAGCGATGTATATCCTCCAGTTTTAGGGTGCTGTGTGCGATGGCAACAAGTTAATAAATTCCGGTCTGAACGTTCAGGAAAAAAATGTGGACTCCCTCCCGGACATGTGCAAGCTTTTCAACATTCTGTAGGTTTTGTTGTATTTCAAATCCTAACTTGGATGTTGGTGGTACGAGCACATATGTAAGCCATTATTCCGGCATATTCCCCAAAGCGTCTTGACAGCAGTCCAATCCTTATATTCGCCATCAATAAAAATGTATCTTTGTTGAAACTAAAAACATTGTTGGCTTGCAATGACGTGACTATTCGTCAAAGTGACATGCACATAAAGCGGCGCAAAACATCTCGCGCGCCCGCCTCCAAACGTTGCGCCCCGCCACGGCACGGCAGACGTTTTCTAAGACGTGTCAAAATAACGTCCGTCAGTGAGACGCGATAGGCCGCTTCACCTGTTTCAACTCCATTTGATGCGGTTTCGAAAGCAGCGGGCTCTTTGTATGACCTCGGTTAGCAGGAGCAGCCCGTCTGCTTGCTTGCCGCATGAAAGAAGTCCAGGTGGTAACAAAAGGCATAGATTGCAACAACACTCTTTACGGCACCCTTGCAAAAAAAAAAAGTGCTGCATTTTTTTTCCCTTTTTTCCTCTTCACCTTGCCTTTTTGCCATACTCATTTATGTGGTCTTATTTCTGAAAGGGGCCGTGAACTCCCCTCCATGTGTCTTCTGGATCACAGCCCGGCATCTTAATTATCTGTGTTTTAAAAGGCTACGAAAAAGCACAAATTGTTCAAGGTTCACCTAATCGAAAAGGCATGGGAGGACATCTTCCACTAAATACACACTGCTTGTCACCATAAAAAGGAGCTGCAAGGCTTGGACTTGTAGCCGACCCCCTGCCAACCACATCAAATGTGACCTGAACGGAGATTTATTAGCAGAGTAAAGCTATTTTATTGGACATGTCGTTTTTTTTTTTTCTGTTTGTTTTTGGTCATATAGCACAATTACTCAATTCAGAGCAAATATCAAATCATTGTCTTGAAAATCCGTGATAAGGTCTCATCTCAAGACTGCAAAGGGAGCAGTGTTCATTTGACGCGATGCTGGATGTGTTGTTGTGATGAGTTCATTTATAATTTTTAAATTCTTTGCAATAGTGAGTTTTTGGTTTGGCTGTTCGAACGGACACCATCGTGTGCTCGGTCCAGTACTTTTTTTATTTTTTATTTTTCTCCCGACATACTCGCTTTATTCTTGTATCTTTGACGCAACAATGTTGTATTTAGTGCTGAGTGTGAAAATCGGATTTATTTAGACATGTAATTCCATATGCTGCGCATACTGTTGTTAGAAATACAGCATTGAAAAGCGAGATTTAGAAGTAAAAAAAAAAGGCCGATTAGTCTACTGAAATGAATCAAAGCGGATTTAAAATCATTTACACTCCTTTGGGATGTTTTTAATCTTTATTCATCCATGTGACTCACTCTGATAGCAAAACCAGTGTTATACACTCAAAAAAAAAATACTTAAGGGTGATTTTTGGGGCGTATCAAAGGTTGCTAGTGTACCACCCTAAACTTCAAATATACTGACATTGATACAGCAATGCAACAGCAACTGAGTGAGTTATTTGGAATGCAAAACACATTTATAGCAAAACAATGCCTTGCCATATAACACAGACATGCCGTGCGAAAAATGCTGCATTTTCCACAAAACGAGTTGCCCCCGCCCCCACACAAACCCGAGGCTGGAGTGCTCTGTGCATTAAACGCTTGCTCGATTTCATATTTAAAGATTGTTTAGCTTCATAAGCATGATTATATTTGACACACAAAGTGTCGCATAATTCATTGTTGTCCCTTCAACTGTTTGATTTTTTTTTTTTTTCCCCACGTCTGGATTTCCCATGTTTTGTGTGATTCTAAAACCGTCTGTGGTAAGTCAAGAAAAACAAACTGCAGTTAGTCCAAAACCACACCAAAACCAAATCCCACCAGCCAAAAACTCTTTTGTTTGAAATTCCAGAGGTTGCTGGTCAAAGGCAAATTGTGAGTTGGATCACACCGCTTGCGACTCTATAAGTTGGGATCACCTTTCCTGAGTGCAGTCTGACCACTGCCAGTTATGTCGCATACAGGACATTTGAAAGCATCTGGGAGAAACCCAACATAAATTCAGGGGATTGATAGAGAAGGGGGGGGGGGGAGTGTGACCACCGGAGGTATTGCCATTCCTGCACCACGGTTGACTTTGTAACATGATAAAGTGCCAAAGCTGCCAGTTTCTGTCCAAACATTTCACGGGCCTTCCACGGCAGGAGTTATGTTTTTAGCTAATGTGCTGTGACGGTCATCTGCATTTCACACATTTTTCATTCGCCCCCTCAAACCGCCTGTTGCGGTGAGAGGTGTTGGCACTAAAGCTTTCGGCTGTCGAAGTCTGGTCATCTTACACCACAACTCTGACGGATCAGCGATCTCCTCGCCCCTGTTTGTATGTTTCCACATATGTTCAGATTTTCAACCTCCAAATGCATTTCTCAACGCCTGATGAAGTTAGTCTTTGAGTAGCCTAAACTACAAACAAAGTATTTCATCGTCAGATCATAAACAGGCTAACTTGATAAATGTATATAACCGGCAGCTGATCTCAATTCGTGACTCTTTTGGTTCCAAAGCCCCCTAAAGATGATCTCTTGACGCACTTCAAATGTAAACAACACACTGTGCCATTATTTTTTAGCATTTCGCAGCTCTGGTTAAACTTCAGCACGTTTGCCAATCTTTGAGAGTCTGCACTTGCGCTTTTTTTTTTTTTGGACATCAAAAGATTTCAGGCTGCCCAAAAATAACAACGTAAGCACGAGAATGTAAACGAACTGTCTGCTGACTAAATTATTTGACACCTTGGCTGTGTTCAGCTGACATTTCAACAAAATTAGCCTGTAAAAAAAAATAAAATAAAATAAAAATAGGGAAAAAGTCGTTAAACATGGCCAGTGTTCACATCCAGCGTAGAGATGTAAGACACGGGTTAATTAGCTGGCATTCCTGGCCGCTCTGTTCTCGCAGGCCGGTTGTCCAGATGCTTCCCCGGACTTAAACTTCGGACCTCTCAGCGCTAACTTTGATGACTCCATTAAGAGCCTCACTTTCATGCAGAGGCTATATGAGGCGGGGGGGGGGCGTCGCGACGGTGAGGGAATGTCGGAGAGTGGGAAGCACATGGTGTCTTGATG